TTATGAAGTCCTCGTTTGAAGCTTTACTGCTGTTAGGCACAGAGCCGTCAAATACACAAGAGTATTAATTACGAGGGCAATCCCCCCCCAAAAAAAAGGTTTCCTATTTTTTGGAGACGTAGAGAAAGTTTTAATACGGTTGTTGGCAACACTGTTGTGAGTGGTGCCTCTTCCGCTACCACATAAGCACGCAGCCGCTTCACTCGGATGCTCAGTCTCGGCTTGGCAGCCATTCGAAATAGAGCTCCCGTTAAACGTTACCGCCAAGTGCGAAGTGCGCACAGTATTCGATTTTGAAGCAAAAGGCGTTTAACCGTGAAATTCACTACCATTGACGGAAACATATGGACAGTCGTGCATGGATTCAAAACGTTCACAATTGTGGTAGAGAGTTTATAGCCTCGTACTGAATTCATGACGAAGAAAGGAGCGGGAACCGTCAACTGCCGACGAGACAATCGCGAAAGTTGAGAACTCATGTGTAAAGATCGGAGGATCACTCTGGATGCTCTCTTCTTTTGGTTCCTGAGGTCCATGATGTTTGTTCAACGCTTCTAACAGCATGGCAGCAAGCTGGTATGACATGGGCATTGTAAAACTGCCACAGCATCTACAAAATGCATCGACCGAAATGGCGATTATGTTGAAAAATAAAAGCATTCTTCATCTTTAAAGTGATTTAGCAATTATAGAAAATAAACGGTTCTTTGTATATCTAAAAATATAGGAGACCTTTTTTTTGGGGATTGCCCTCGTACGAGATAAACATCACTGGAAATGTAAATCACAATAGTAAGCATTGATTGTCATTGATGCCCATTAAAACATATAATATTATGATAATTATCTCAAAAAAGGATGCATCCACCAACGGCCAAGCAGTAAAATTGCTGAACACGGGTATTTCGGTTCGAATCCCAGCAAATGGGCTGGCTGCACGGACGTTTTCGTGATTTTTCCATTGTATAACATGTATAGAAACCATTTTCTCTTAGACAGTTCTCCATGAAGGCATACCTCCTTATTCAGATAGCCTTCGAGCGCTTTTTCAAGTAAACCAAACCAAAGAGAAATATTTCAAACGAAGCATAGATATTTAATTTTAAATAGTTCTATTTTGTTCTTAGGCTGTGAAATCATTTGAGTGGACGTGAAGGAAGGATGCCATAAAAACTGCACATAAAATGTTAATAAAATGTGAAAACTGATTTCAAGAAATACATGCATATATTGGCCTTTTTAGTAAACCCCCAAGTGTAAGTACTAACTAATGAATTTAAAAATAAATGGTAATCAGTACCTAATTTAACATAGCTCATCAGTCCTTAGTCATAAATAACGTCCACTAGCGGCCGAGCAGCAACATCACTGAACACTAGTAGTTTGATCTGGAATTGAGTTTTCCCACTTGTAATGTGAATACGAGCCAGTTTTCTTTAAATAGTCTTCCAAGAAGGCATCCCTTCCCATATAGAGAGAGCCCTCCTTTGTTTTAATTAACCGTACTCGTAAATAACAAATTATTTTCCCATCCAAAGTCCTCCATGAAAGTTAAAGTTGTCTATTTTTATCTGAGCATCTAATTGTGTCATTTCAAATCTTGATATAGACAAATAATACAATAACAAGCTGTGATCATTTGGTTTAATCATCATGGGCTTATTGGTGCAAATGACTCATGGAAATATCTCTCAATGAATGATATGAGAACTGGCATCTTTTCCAGATGCCAATCAAAACTCTGAGGTGCTATTTAAAACCAACTTTCCAATTTGACTTCACCACATATCTGCGGTATTAAATAACATTATTTGTCACTTCCTTTGGCTTCTTGGTAAAGAATGGAGTTTTGCAACTCACTCAAGCTTTTATTTCACAATTACATCTTTCACTGTTACGCATGGTATCTGGAATTTGTTAAATATATCATAAGCAGAATGATTGAACTAAGTGAGCATTGGTAATCATATTCAGGTTCAGTCAGATCTTGCTGATGCACATTTTAACTATTGTAACTGTTATGCATTTATAACCAATGCTGATGTCTTTTTACGGGCTTATGATATGCAACAGTGGCATATAATTCATCTTACTCTCCTTTCATAGGTCAATAAATGGCAATATAATATATAATTAAAATTGCTATGAGGTTGAACATTGTAAAAGTGCAATGGATAAGTAAGAAGTAATATATGAAGAAGGATTAAAAACAAAGGAAATGTAACCTCAATTAATTGATAAGGGTAATTCACACAGGGGGTTTATCTGAGCTAACATAGTCAATACTATGCGTTGACTAGCTCCACTATACATGAAGTTCAAATTTTTCAACCAAAGAAAAACAAGCCTTCTCAATGTCATGGAGCAGTGTCAGCCATAATAGATGTCTCCTCCAGACAAACTCTAGCATAAATGACCCTATAGTCACTGGCAAAAATATTTGAAATCCAAAAACTATCTGGAATTATCATCTGAAGAAATGAGCATCACACAACCGCCTTTCTTTTGATTTCAAATGTATCAGATTCAAATGTTCTTTCAAAAGTATCAGCAAATCTGATATTTTCTTTGGTACAGCTAGAAATTCTCATTAAAATTTTTCTTAAAAAATATTCAATCCATCAGTTTCAGATACAGCTAACTTTTCATCAAAGATAGTCACTGTCATTCCTGGCATACAAACCAGACTAGCATTCATTCCCTAAGAAAATACTTCTAAATTAGGTACATTGAAAATATGATTAACAATTTAAACCATGTCTACAACATAGTCTCATTTCTGATGATGTTACGCAGATTTACAAGGAGAAATATCACTGTTTACCTCCACCACTAAAGAATTGATAGTTCTCTCATTAACAAAACCACATAATTGAAAATACATACTATGGATAATAATTTTGCACATCACAGTAAGTAGTACTGTTACTTGTGATAAACACCTTTCTAAAATGGATAAAAATTGCTAATCAAAATGTATCACTATTTTTGCTATCTGACATAATAAATGGATTTCTTTCCAAACAGATTAAATTTGGATTTATGTTAAAAGCATCACATGTCAAATTGAGGTTTCCATTCCTGATATTTTTTAGCTCATTTTATTCTACAGTCATTGCTTCAGTTGTTTTTTGCTAGTTGAACAACAATGAAGCTTATCATTATAAAAATAACAATTCACAGGCAGGGATTATGACAACCTTCATATTTCCTCTCATGTTGAAGACAGTGGTTATTTTTTAGTTTTTTTCAAATTATTGAATTAGTCTCATTTATATCTCCCTATTATCAAAACCAAGTATACAACTATAGAAAATGAAAATAATATATAATAATAATTTAAACCTTTCCCTTTTTGAATACATGCTTCTTTAATGAAATCATATGTTAAACAAGAGTAAAAGTGGTTCCAATCATTTTCTTGCAGACTGAATGGAATCACTGTTACTCTTGTTTAACATATGACTACAGAGTCGATATTCTATATAATATTTTCAATAATAATCATAATAATAATTGCTTGAGTATTGAAAGTGAATTCTTAATGAAAAGGTTAAATATTTACATGGGATATTAATTTAAGGGTAAACTTCAAAGGCAATTTTTATATATTTCAATCAACAAATTACATATGTAAAAAGAAACATGAAAAGTCAAAACACGAAATATAATACAGTACAATCCCAATAATTCAATTTTCCATACACTATGTGCAAATTTATGGGTTCAAGCATGGTGGAGAAACTAGTCTCTAAGGGCAATTTTAACTAAACAATAAGTTTCTCTTGCCAAATATAATTTCAGTATCTCAAATAGAGTACAACACATCACCAACCACTATATCTTTCTCCCACTAAATATTACAACCCTATTACATTGCACCACTGAGTACATTTACAGTTACAGCAACTTCGCTTCAAATTTTGCAAACAAGTAAATTAATTTTAATCTCCTTTCTGGTATCGGTTTGTATGTAAACTTGTATTTTAATACCTACTTTTGATTTTGCATTTAACTCTGAAAGTATGTATCAATTTGTACATATTTCTATTGCTTTCCAATATCTTCTTTTGTACATATTTCAATTATTTTGCATTGATTTGTACAGGTCTCAACTGTTTTTCATTGTTTTTACTATACTGTGAGAGTGTCAGAGAATGTTTTTTCTAAAGTGAAGATCTCACATTAATTCAGTTCTTAACAAGTACGTTAAATTAAAAAGAAGATCTTACTCATATTTCTTTTTTGTTTATGATAAGTATTTTGGCTCAAGCAAGTCTTTCTAATTTTTGAGTTTTCTTTGAAGCTTATGATTTAACCCTAGCAAAATAATTTGATCCTTACTTAGAAAAAAGACAAAACACTCACACTTAATTTGGTTATTGTTAATTGATAGTGGATTGGTATGTTCCAAGTCAATTAATATACAGTCAATAACAATGGCTACCTTCTTATTACTTTAAATTTTACTATTTAGTATTTTTCTGGTTTAAAATAATATTTCTATAAAACTTATTAAAATATTTTTACTACAGTAGAAATCTAAATAACTTATACTTTAAATACTGACTCAAATTTATTCCAATAATTCATAGCATTAATTAAATTTATGTCCCTTGGAGATGATATAAAAAACTATTCTAATGATAAATTAAATATATTGTAAGAATGTGATTCCAGATTTTTCATATCACATGAATTCACATATACTTCATTTTGTGGGATGGGGAAGAAGGATGTCTCTTACAAAAATTAATAACATTTCTAAACACCTTCCCCCCTTTTTTTTATGAACAAATTTTAAAAAAAAATTGGAAGTAAGTTTTGCAACAAATATTTAAATACAGAAATCGTAAGCTATGAATTCAGAAATTAAAAACAGAGAACATAAATAATAGATGAAAATCTGCAAAACATATTTTTAATGATAAATTTGATATTTTAAATATAAAAAATTAATATTTCAATGATTATTTGATGATATGGATTAAATCTTCATTCATTCCAATTATTTTATTATTTATGCTCCTGTTCTTTTAAGTGACCAATTTAAAACTGAATGCATAACTGCAAATGATAAATATTGCACTCACATTAAGCATAGGATTTCCATAACAGGAAGTCTAGATCAATTCAGAAAGAAGAAAAAGTAATTAACATGAATACATTTTTGTACATACAATTTAATATTTGTAATATCTTCAAACTCTACTTATTTAATTTATTTCATGTTTAATACTATTCAGAAAGAACAGTTTTTCTTAAAGATCATATCACAAACACATGCAACGAAATCCTTCTAAGACAATTTTTCAGAAATTACCTGCAAAAATTCCAGTACTTAAGAAAAAGTAGTTTTAGTAAATTGGAACAAAAATTGCATTAATGAGACACTGGGGTCAAATGTACTTAACTGATGGTAACATATACTATAGATATATTGAAGTCTTTATTCACAAGTAATCAACAAAGGCCTAAGCATAACTATCCCACTGTTTCACGAGACTGATGTATTTCCTCTTCTAATAATTCTTGTAGCTATGACAGGAGTCAGTTCTCCACTATGTCATTTAGTTTGTCATCAGACTTGAAGCACTGCCCTTTGCGATGTCGCTTCTCACCAGGTCATTCACCTTGTCAATGAGTTTGGCTGTAATTACTGTGTTTGCCTGGCCTGGTCTCGGAAACATTCCAGCCCTTCGTGAAAACTAGCAATCCACTTTCTCACTGATTTGTCAGACCCACAGTTTCTCCCATATATGGTCACCATTTGGGATGAATATCAGCTGGTTTAACCCCTTCTACAGTCAGAAATCTGATAACACCTTGCTGCTGCTCAATCCTCAAATTCTGCAACGAGAACACCATGATGTTCTCGTACTCACTTCCACATTAATTGGTTGGAGTGCACAACTGACTGCTTCTCTCCTGTAGTACTATGTGCGGGCGGACGCCCATGTGCACAACTATGGAATACATTAAATTTGCATCCTCAGATATCTCACTTCGCTATGCCAAAGTGGCATATTCAAATTTCAACAGCTTTATTTGTTAAGACATTTTGTACCTTTTCATTTTAACAGCCCTTATATATATATATATAAGGACTGTTATACACTGACTACCAATAAGTATTTGGACACCTATGCAAATGACGATATATGCGGTCCTAAGGTACGTCACGGACGCCGCCGGTATATATCGTGTAGGAAACAGCATCAGCTTTAGTCGCATGCAAGATGCCTCGCAGTTCGGAGCTCTCTGATTTCGAGAAAGGTATAACTATCGGGGATCACAAATTTAGCCGATCCTTAAGGGACATATCTAGCCATCTGAAGTACCCAAAATCAACAGTGGCCTATGTGATTAAGAAGTGGAAGGTCAGCGGTGATTGTCGGAATGTGCCCTGAGCCGGCAGACTAATGAAACTGGGAGATAGAGACCAACGAGTGCTGTCCAGAGAAATTCAGAAGAACCGCATCCAACCGATGGTCCTCATCTGCAAGGAGTTTCAACAGGCATCCGGGAGTATTGTTTCAATGAATACCATCCATAAGGAAGCACATCTGCTTGGTTTTCACGGTCGTGCTGCTGCCCTTAAGCCTTTGATCGCAAAGTCCAACTGCGCTGCTTGGTTAATGTGGTGCAAAGCACATCGAAATTGGACCATAGATCAGTGGAAACGGGTTCTTTGGAGTGACGAATCAAGGTTCACCCTTTACCGTTCGGATGGCAGGGTCTGGGTCTGGCATCTACCTGGAGAACGTCTCCTGCCAGAATGCATTGTGCCAACAGTCAAGTTCGGCAGAGGTGGAATTATGGTCTGGGGGTGTTTCTCCTGGTATGGGCTCGGACACTTGGTCCCTATTCATGGTAAGCTCAACCCCGATGCCTACTGCACTACTTTGGATGACAATGTGCTTCCTACGTTGTGGCAGTTTTACGGGTTGGACCCCTATTACTTTCAGGACAACAATGCCAGTTGTCATGTTTCGACGTTTAACCAAGTCTTGGTATGGTGCCAATGGAGTTCATCGAATGGACTGGCCTACCCAGAGTCCAGACCTGACCTGAACCCTATCGAGAACCTCTGGGACAAGTTGCATCGCCGAATTCAAAAGTGCACTACCCATGCAAATTCGGTGAAGGAAATTCTATGTCTTCTCCAAGCCAAGTGGAAGAAAATACCACTAGTTGTCATACAAAGACTTGTGGAAAGTATGCCCTGGAGGGTCCACGCTGTAATTACCTCTCGTGGAGGCTCTACCAACTATTGATTTTGAATAAAATTAGTTTTTCTTTTCTATCACGGGTGTCCAAATACTTATTGGTAGTCAGTGTATGTGTGTATATATATACACACACATACATATTAATGAACAGGCTTTCATCTATTTTCTATGATTTTCTTACTTCCACTGATTTTACATTTAGGGTAAGTTTGGGACATTAACATATATCGCATACATGTAGCTTTTTCAGTTCACAGTTGCAATGTGATTCAAATGAAAATGCATTTCACGTAACTCAGCTGATGTTAACTCATTCTAATCCGGTTTACTCATAATGGCCATCTGATTTCTTTAAAGACAGTACAACACATGCATCAGGTGTGTATACTATTCCAATTCACAATGAAGATACAGAGAAAGCCAATACACTGGTCTGACATCTAAAATATTATCACGAAAAACTGCCAAGCAATTTAAAAGAAAAAAAAAAAAAAACTCTTTGAATTTGGTACATTACTGAAATTTGCACGTCTTTGGTGAAATACTCCCTGGAGTAATCAAAACTCAGTAACTGAAAGGGACAAAGCCAAAATCATGAACAAACTCCTGGCATCAAATGCTGCCTTACAATCATGACTAAATTAAACTAAACTGCATTCTTTGCAGTCTTGTAATTAACTGAGAATTCAACAAAAGACATGGCTAAAATCTATCATTGTTTGTAATCTTCCTATTAAAACTTTTTCAGTTCTATTCATCCTGTATAAAAATTTAACAGGAGCACAAACAAATGATTCTTCAAACATGTTCAGGTTCACAATCCGTTCTTTTACTCTTATGTTCACAGGTGGCACCATTATTTTACTGGTGATTATTCAAACAGTCTTTCTGTGTGGATATTTCTCTACCTTGAAGCAATTTGAAGGCAGCTTTTCCATGATTAGGTAACTGTCAGATTCATCTAATAAATCCCAATGATCCACAAATAGGGAGTCAGAATGCTTCATGCAGTTCAATGTATACGGTTAATAGCCTTTATATAGCAAGAAACTGAAAATACAGCACATTCGAATAGATTTGTTGTGGTGTCCCATTAACATTGAAAGTACCAAAACTTCGTCAATGGTGAAAGAACAGTTTTATTACAGACTATAACAATATAAAAAATATAAAATTATAAAAAATAAGCAACTTAAAAAATATCTTAAACAGAAATTTATGAAGTGAATTTTACTACTGAGTAAAAATTTTTCAATTAAAAATTAATACCTCTCTTAATATCTCCTGCTGGCGAAGGCGGAGTCGCTCTCGTTCCATCTGTAGTCTCTGCAATCGCAAGTTTTGTTGTTGCTGCTGCAAAGTCTGGCTACTCAAAGTAGGCAAGACAGATGCCCCAGAGCCTGATGTAACAACAGATGACTACAAAAATAAAAATTTCATTAGTATCATGAACAAACAATTTTATTAAAAAAAGTCCTTTAACCAATTATTAATGACATTATGAGATTAATTAAATATTAGACTGCGAGCACCAAAATTAATGAATTTGCTCCAACAATGCTGATGGCCTTTTCATGCATTTCTCACATAAACACTCACAACTTACCATTTTATTTTCCAGAATAAAAATTCTGCAACCAATAAACTGTTAGGGGAACTAGTACTGCTATAGTATGCAATCTACCACTTTTAATTAGTTATTACATTGTGCCACTAAAATGCTACTTCTAAATATAAAAAGAAATACAAATAATTAACTTTCAAACTAAGTGAATTTAAGATCATACAACAAATAATTAAATGCATATAAATAAAAATGATTCCATTAATTAATTAGATAATCCATTAAAGTTTTAATTCCTTCAATTTAAATTGCTTTCAATGTTCCAAAACAAAAACAGGAGTGGGTTAAAAAAAAAAGATTCTTTGTATGAGTTGTTTAGTTCTATATAGTGCAAATGTGCGTGGCCAAAAAACAGTCACAACTGTTAATGATGGATTTCCACCATGCTTCACCAAGATAACTAAGAAACATTTGGAGTGTGGTATTCCACATGTTGTCCAGAACTTTTAGTTTTAAAATCCACCCACACAATTCATATGTTCAAGTATTAGTATTGTCTGAAGAATTGAAAAAGTTCTTTGTTGGTTTACAGTTCAGTAATCATATCCTAATAAAATACAGTCAGAAAGTTGTTGACTGAAACACTACATCAGTACTAAGAATTTTTACTTTTCTTTTATTATTATTTCAGCATTAGAATTTCTTAAACAGGATCTCTGAAAATAAATTGTGAGGTATCAGTGAAACATGTTATTTGCAAAATGGATTGAAAGTACTTATTTAATTCAATCATTTAAAAAAACATGAACAAATTAATAAATTTAAATATGTGCACCATTAACAGCATATCAGATGTCATAAAGATATTCAGTTTTGCCCTAAATCTGAAGTCTGGTGTCTTGCAGTTGCTTGCCTAATTTCTTCCCTGATGTGGCAACATTATCAATTCTTTCATTGTGAATCTTATTTTTGACAAATCTGCAAGGAAGTCTGGTGAAATAAGATTGGGACTTTTGAACCATGGGATGGATCTATTTCTACCATCTTGACATCAATGATTCAACTCATTAACACACAATTCAGTAAGTGTGACAATGCTCCATCTTGTTAAAAGGAATCTACAGTTAGATATGTAGCATGTTAAAGCTACAGAAGCTAAACATAATATTTATTTCAACAAAGAAAACAACCAAAAAAGTTGTTTTTCATCTGGCCATATTATACACCAAATTTACAAGAACCTAGAATGTAAACAGAAGAGGAGCACACCAAAATAACACATAAAATTAAGCAAAGCAACAACCTTGCATTTAGATTTTAACTAAGACTTGAATTCAACGACAAACAGATACAGATCCTCCTTCATCAGGAGCAAAAATCTGATTTCTTTAACCGCCAATTTATTTATAATTATCCTGTATGCATATAGGTATGTAAACACATATATGCATACAGGCTGTATGTCTGTACACACATACAGTATAACTGTATAACTTACATATATTTTACGACATTCTCAGAAAAATATATATCAAATAAGTTTCAATGAATGAACATTCAGAAAATGTTCAAAAGTAAATACATAATTCTAGATTTTATACACACTTTTCAAAAGATACATACCTGAGTCTGCTGCCCAGACAATGACACAGGGCTTTGACTTTGACCAGTCACAGAACCATAACCTAAGATTGGCACCAGAGGGGGCTGTTGTAATTGTATAGCTACAAAATAAAAGGGAACAAATTTGTACAAAGATTTATATATGCAATTATTTTTTACCTAAAAAAATTCTACAACATTATTACTTAAAACACACAAACAAAACAACAGTAGTTATATTCCTTGATTCCTTCCACTGTCATGTTTTATACACTCCTCAAAAGTGAAATTGCAACATCAAGAAAGAATGCTCATAGCACCATGCAAATTGTAGGACTGAGAGTTGTGAGATGGATATGATGCAAATGATTAAAAAAACAGACACAAAAAATCATTATAAACCAATTTATTCGATATCTAATGTGCCTATCTCAGGCAGCGATGCAGGCAAGGCATGCTATCAGCGAGTTCATTGATGCCAAGCCACATCCACTGCTGTATGCAGATCACCAGTGGTCGTGGTCCTCAGTTAATGTCACAGCCAATGACATCCCACAGGTGTTCGATGGGATTCAGATCTGGAGAGGCTGCCAGCCAAGGTAGGATGTCCCATCAGGTCAAGCTGTTAAGGCTATGCCACACGACATACGGCTTGGCATTGTCTTGTTAGAATACTGTGTTGGGTGCGCCCTGCAACCAGGGCAGAACAACTGGCTCCACAACTTGCGTCACATAACGGTCCGCTGTCACTGCCATTAATATGTACCAAGGGCATCTTGTGATCAAACATTATGTCACCCCAAACCATAATGCCCAGTGCACAACCGGTGTGACGCCTGGCAAAATGGGCTGTTTCGTAGCATTCTCCCAGTCGCCGCCATATCTGTCAATGGCCGTCACTCTTGCGCAGACAGAAACAAGATTCATATGTAAACAAAACCCAATGCCATTCGATGGTTCATGCACTATGACACTGACACCACACCAGCTGTCTAGTTTTATGTTCAGTAGTCAGTGGTACCTATGAATAGGATAAGTGTATTTCATGCAGTCTGTTGCGTATAGTTTGGATGGACACAGATCTACTTGCTCCTGGAGGCAACTGGCTTCGGATGTCATGTGATGAGGAAAAAGGCTCTCTAATTGTTGACGGCCGAATATGTCGGTCTTTGCACTCTGACATGCACCTGTGCATACCACTTCCTCTTCAACATGCACGAAATACTGAACCGAAATACTGAACACTTTACCGAATACTGTAAACCGAAATACCGATTCATATGTTATATGTTAACTGTAAACCGACATACAGTCGGTTTACAGTTAACATATAACATATGTACATATTTACATACATATGTACATATTTACGGTTTACAGTTAACATATGTTCATATGTTAACTGTAAACCGAAATACTCAACACTTTAGTGCATATAAAACTTCTACTTACAATAGACAACTACCACGTGCGAATAAAGTGCGATTTAAAGAGACGTCACAAATCACGTCATTCGGAAACATTTAGTTCCCCGTTTGTTTATATAATCAAAAACACGTGTATGTGAGTCATGCTTCTCTCATTTCTAGTAGAAAGTTTAATGTACATGTATCTGAAACCATATGGGCATACAGTGCCATCTTGTGGCAGAAATTATAGTTTGAAAAAGGTTCCAAGATACTTGCACAAATACGTGACAGTCGGTAGAGAATGCAACAATGCTCTGGCATGCCTGCGTGTCGGCCGGTAGATAAGCGTGTTCGTTGCTGGCACGTATACGTGACAGTCGGCGTTAAGAGGTTAATATTTAAATGATTGATTTAAAAATTCAACAATTCTGAAGAGTAACTTATTTAACAGCACTTCTCTTTTCAGATCACAAGTTTAATTTTTTAAATCATGTTTGAGACATCGCACTCTTTCATTGAACAAGCATTTAAAGTTATGTTTCTGTACAAAACAATGACAGTCAATTTTTCACTGTTTTATAGCACCCTTAAATATCTTGATTTAAAAGACTCCTACATCATTATTGCATGGAAAACTTACATTATTTTTCTTTGGAAAATGCGAAATGCAAAATTGTACCCAAAATTTATTTACATGAGAGGTTTTCAGCTTTTAAACATTCTGAATTCAATACAAGCTAATTTACTTCACAATATAAAATTTGATAAAAGTTAATTTTTTAATATTTCGTTAATATAAGTTGTGCATGTAATCAAAATTATTTTTTAAAAAAATGGTTGGAGAGCAATAGTTAAATCACCACAGATCATTAAAGAAACCGCTGATCAGATCTTGAAGTGGGCTGTAGCCTAAGAGATAGAAATATGGAATATCAATATTGTTACGCATTTTGCATATAGGTAAATAATTTTAGTGAAATAATATGTGAAATTGTAGTATTTTTTGTACAATGCAATATGAAATGCTTGAAGCGACGACAGCCATCCATAAAATTACAGGGGCAAGTCCATTTAACATCAAGGTAAATGGCTATCTTGCTAAATCGGTGAGGTATCGCCAAGTTGGAGATGGTTTGGGCAACTAATTCTTGTCACCAAATCACCAAAAGTCACCAAACTTGGTGACCATTTGGGTCCATCACTGTGTAACTGTAATTCCTACTGTAACCGAATAACTGCAATGGATCCCTATATGTAACTTTAACTCTTTCGCATCGAGAGAGGGCAAAATCTCAATTCCTCAAACATCGAAACGCCCGTATCTAAGAATTTCTCCTGGAATGCTTTTCCTTCCCCCATGACAAGTTGAATACTACAGCACTAACAATAGCCTTACTTAAGTAAAGCAAGAACTTCTTTCTTCGACGCTTTGACATTGTGTGAAGTTCCCCCTTGGGACAGGATTGCAACTTCGGGCATCAAAAGCTAAACACTGACAATAAACAAAGGAAAGGAAGGAACAAAGGAAACAAGGAAGCTACTTTTAGTAGCTTCAAAAGAATGATTGACATGCGATTTAACAACACCTGAAAGCAATCAGTAATGCAGTAACATGATGGGGGAAAGCACTGGGTAGGAAATTATTCAGGCGTTTCGGGCGTCCAGCCGGTGTCTGAATGTTTGGGTGTTTGGGGCGACTTCGATGCGAAAGAGTTAACTGTATAAGCCTTCCAGTAATTTCGATAAATGGAAGGTACTAGAGATTTCTCTGCGGCCGACAGAAAACTATATAAGGGCGAATAGAACATTGGTTGTCAGTTTCCAGTTTAGACATCACTCTGGAGTATTGAGAGATCTTGTTTCAAGCTTCGCTCTGTGGATGCACTTGGCATTGTGTTGTTTAACGTTATTAATAGTTTCATGTGGTAACTACTGATTGTGCTCTGCTATATTGAGAATAGCTGTATGAATACTTTTGTGGAAACTCCATAATTATAAAGTGTTTCTTTTGGGAACACAAATCTTATCAAGCTATCAATGGTTATGTGTGCATTCAATCTATTACACACCCATATGCGTGCAACAACATAAATGAAGTCACATGAACAAAGCAAAACTTACGAATTCTGGGATCATACCAACTTGTGGTACGAGTTTTATGGTTTATGTAATAAACTTCGCCTTCTGCTGTTGTAGCTTGGTCCCAGCCCTCCGGCAGAGGCCCTAAATTCTGAATATTTAAAATAGATGATGCTGGGCTTGTGCTTGGACTGGAGCAAGTGATCCCTGAAGAGTTGGAGAGAGATCCAAGACTCAACTTTTTACGTGGATCCTCCCATGTTGTTGTTTTTGTCAAATGACTGAAAAAGAAGAGAGAAAAAAATTAACATTTAAATGAAAGGGAATATGCCAAGTAAAAAATCAATTACAACAAAAGACTGATAATCTAGAATATTTGGAGCTGTCGTGAAGGCAGATTTTAAAATAACTTGGATCACTGAGCTAAAAATTATAAAATGCTGAAATTTTTTGTTTTCCCATCACTGAACGTAAACAGGAATGAAAAATATTTTGTCATATAGTTGAACTACCTGTGCTTTATTTTTTAAAATAAACATAAACTTTTATTAAATACAGCTATATGGATCAGTGGATTGAATAAAAATTAAATTTCATATTACAAATTAGTTTTTACATTAAAAAATGCCAAAATATGAATATTTGCCTTATTTAAAACACTTTTGCAAATAGTAGAAGTATATGACTGACACAGTGGTTCTCAACCTTCTTTGCTCCAAGCACCTCTTTTACCACGGCCAGATGAGCATTACATCCCTCAATTAAAAAAACTTGAATAATACACATATCTTTATTTAAATTATTTTTAATGTGTTTTATAAATTAAAAAAGAAAATGTTTAGTATTCATAAATACCTAGACTTGGGAGAAAAGTAGTTTTTTATATTCATAAACTAAAACTACATAGTACTTAACAGGTAAACAAAAAAAAACTGACTGCATTCTACCCCTGAAACTAGGAAATTCCTCCCAGGGGAAAATTACCCCCCCCCCCGGGCTGAGAATCCGTGATCTAACAGTTGTAAAAATGTAGGCCGCATAAAATCTTTTAAGCACAATGTGTGTGTACATATCTGCATATTTATATATATAATTTATTTTATCAATTCCAATCATTATTTATTTTATATTTATAATCTCAAGTGCAAATATAAAGAATTAAAAAATTACATTAATTCAAATGAAATATATGCAATTTAATCTTGAATTTCAAACATTAAAATTAAACTACTCTTAGTACTGTTAATGCAAATAATTAAAATATAAAAGTATTATAAATCTTAGCATCTGTATTATAAATAAAGTGTATGTTTGCAAATATAAGCTTTAATTATTAATTTTGTTTGAATTTAGAAATTAATTTACACTTTATCAGGTAAGCAATTTTTTTGAACTTTTTTATTTTCAATAACCAAAAACTAGACAGTACTTAAGAATTTTATATGTTATGCTTTAATAAAATATTTAATGGAGTCATAATTTCATTACTCGGTTATTTAATGGTTTCAACCTCAATCACGCGTGAATTAAAAACAACATTTAATATAAACTAAAAAATCTGTAAGAAATTTTCCTGAAAAGAAGTTTCATTTTTGGCCAGTGATTACTTAAAGCAGCCGAATCATTGCTATCACATAACAGAAATGTACAAAAAGTAACGTTTCCTGCTTTGTTTGATTTTATATGGGTACTTTAAACTACTTAGCTCTATAAAAAGTTTTAGGATTTCATAAGACATAATGCTTTCCAAAAGTACACATAAATGTTATTTCAGAATATGCAGAAACTATATATATTATATATGTATGTATGCATGCATGTAGTATGTCACAATATATACTATACACACGTACAAGCAAAAGATGCGGCATTCAGCTAACGGAAAACTCAAGCAACCACAATAATTTTAAATTTCAGAAACTTTATTTATTTATTTAAATAAATAAAAATTTAAAGAAAATTTAACAAATAAGAAATTTGTGAACTCCGTTTAAAGCACGAATACGTATTAAAAAAATTATCGCCAAACAGTGCGATCTAGTGCCAATAATGGATAAGTTTGACGTAATGCTTCGGCTTCATGTAAACCCGATTAATTCTCAAGTTGGCTTAATTTTTGAAAAAAAAAAAAAAAAAAAGATATAAAATAACTGCTATTTACTTGTTTTTCAACTGCATTTTGAATAAAAAAAAAGACTTGAATTTGGGACTTGTCTTCAAAGGAAGAGCATGCAGTATTTTCAAATTTACGAGATTCTGGCATTAAGAAATTTGCGACTTACGTGAAACTGGATAAACATTGGTTATGCAATGTGAAAAATCATGACGAGCGATTAATATTTTTTATATACCTGTAACTTGCATATGGTGATTAAATAAAGATTGATCTGCTTTTCCAAATTTCTGTTGGAATGACTGGCCTATATTTTGGTGAGATCTCCACCAATTTTCATGGTCGACGGAAATTCGTCATCGAATATGATGTCTTAATTAAATGTTTATGCCTGGAATGCCCTTTTTTCTTTCAAAACCTCATATAATAATTTCTTACTTTTTGCCTATACATATATATATATTTCGGTTAATACTACTGCAAAGGCCCACCAGCGGCCAAGCGGTAAAAGCTGCTGAACATTGGCAGTTCAGACCGCCGTTTGAGGCTGCGACTGAGTTGGCTGCATGAGCGTTTTCGTGGCTTTTCCCGTGTGCAACGAGGATATCACCCAGTTTTCCTTAAAAAGACCTTCACCGTACATCCTTCCCTTTCCGTGTGGTGCCTAATGGCGAAGCACATAATAAAAAAATATTCTAGTCAAATTATTATCGATATTTTGTCAACTGAATCAAAATTAAACCCCCCTTTCCAATGATGACATTTTAAGAAAACCGCTAACCCACTGATCATTCAGCCGTCTCATCACTCAAAGTGTTGCTCAGATGCACCATAATGCTTATTCAGACAGTGGTATAAATGTCATAAGAGGCACAGTCATAAAGCATACAATGCAAGAGTTCCTTTCACTACTGTGACAAAGGATCTAAGTCGTAGCCAATTACAGAAGCTAAATTTGAGCATGCGTGGATGTGTCTACAGTTTTCCCGCTCAATAGTTTCGCGCGTTCGCTCCAATTGGTTGACTCTTATACCAAGTCGAGATAAGGTTGAAAACTTCGGACTTTATCCCCAAACCCCTAAAGAGGTTTTTGTGAGTAGCAAGGTCTGGTTACTCAGCAACGAAACTCGTCTTAAACCAGTTATGAGATTTATACCAACATCCGAACGCAGGCTAACGGTCGACTGATATTAAACCACAAGAAGAAAGGATAGGTAAACATTCGTGCCTCCTCCGGGATTTGAAACCGAACACAATGAAACAGTACGCGGATTTGCAAACCACCGCATCGATCAGAACAATCAGAAAGACATTCATTCAAACTACATTGAATTTACAACTTTTTATACCGCCCAAATAGTGTACTAAGGATCCAAAATCATAAAGAAGAATTTGGGTGAATCTTTTTACAACAAAACTGCTTGGCATTAAATTCAAAATTCCCTGAGGTTTGGGAAAATCCAGCAAGGTACGGTTATGACTTTTACTCAGCACTTAAAAGATTTTGATCCTCCACTTCCCCCAAATACATTCACATCTATTTTTTTCCATTATTTTTCTCTCGGTTTTGTATTAAATGTCACATGCCAAAACCAGCATTAGGAAATCTTTGTGGTGCCCCTTTTCTCAAGAGTTCTTACGCAGCTTTTTGGGATAACCATATCTCCTTAACATGCCGTATATAAGCACATTCTTATTTTGTTTAATGGTCAATCCAGCTCTGAAATACACTCAACAGTAGTAATGTTAACATTATTATAAAATATGAGATTCAGAAGCATTTTTCCAATCAGCAGTAGGAGTTATAAAATAAGAATTCCGGAAAGTTTCTTTGACTGTTTCTTCTCTGATGCTTGAGTAAGTGTATTAAAATCAGTATACATCACTTCTTAACCTTTTTGTACCAAATCGACAGGATTTTTAACCCTTTACACTCAAAATACGTTTTAATATGATTGACCAGCAAAGCAGCAGCTCCTCCGCACATCGAAAATGAAAATTCTTGGAAACTAAAAGGCGTTGTTTGAAAAGATTGGGGGGGGGAAGATGACCTTAACTATTTACAAATTTGTTTATTTTTATTTTTTCACCGATCTGATTTATTTTATTATATACAACATAAATTTTATATTTGAAATTTATGATGATATGGTACTACTCTTAAAAGTATGCTCTTGTTTTTTGGACAACAATTATAATAACTGCTTGTTCCAATTCTCATTCACCTAAAATTTGATCTAAAAAGTTGAATTAATTTAACAAAAGCACTAGTTCAGGGGACTTCATTTTGCACTATTCCTTTGAAATTCCTTTGAAAAAGTGATGAAAATTTAAACTAAAATTTGAAATTTTTTTCAGACATCTATTTTATTTTATATAAGTCTAAATAGTTAGTTAACTTTTAATTTTTCTCTTCGAAAACAACACTTTACAGTATAATCACCAATAACTTCAAGGCATTCTTTCAGATGGTTTGTCCAATTAATTTTCTCGTTATTTGCTAAAATAGTCTTCCTCTGTTATCTCATGTAAGTTTCCCGAAGGTGGCAACAACAATTGTACCACAGTTCTTTATTTCTGGCTTGAAAACATTAAAATCATACCATTTCAGTCTTTCTATTTCCTCCTTCATTATAGATGGTAGAGACGTTCGAAGGGAGGGAAGCAGGTGTTCAAAGAATAGGTTGAATGAAATGATAACCGTGTTTAACCACGTAGCTGCCCAGACGGTATAGTGGTTAGGGGAGCCGATTGCGATACCAAGGGGCCCGGATTCGAATCTCAGAGAAAGCATGGTTGTAAATATCCGTCCCTTCATAGAAGTAATAATAATAAAGTGACCACCACTTCTAGCCCTATTAGTGACCAAGCCGAAGACGGCTGAGGGTCCGCCATTGGTTTTAAAAAAAATTGTTTTACCACATGTTATTACTTCAACAAGAACTTTGTTCCTTATTACTTCAACCTGCCCTTGATGTCCTCTTAGATGTCCTGTTATTTGTAAATCAAATTACATTACAAAGTTTTTACATCATTTATTGCTGATAGTATGTGGCTAGTACTCTGACATACCTCAAAACTAAACGAATATCTATCTACACGAAAATTCTTTGACTGTTCTCAATGTCCATGAAAAATTAAAGGGGTTGTAAGGATCCTAAGTTTTAC